GCACAACAGAAAACACGCTATCTGTAGGACTAAACAGCATTGATATGAGATAAATAGGTAATGTTTATGTCCATTTGACTATATATATATGGTTTTGATTTTTGGTGCACTTGGCCGAGCATATTGCGAAGGATGTCAAGCCATTTTAGAGATGAAATCCTTCTCATAACCATGCTCGTGCGTAGATCAAGATCGACATAAAGATCCGTCAGTTGTTTCCAGATTGAAAAATCGAAAGAAGGACGGAGATGAACGTTAGCGATCGCGAACTTCTCGAGGCACGGGGCTTGTCCCTTGAAAAGATTATCGGGAAGAAGAAATATATGGTTATATGGACGGGGTCCTGTTTGATAATGCACTTGGAACACTTCAAGTTTGGGTGCGGGCTTAGAAAGTCCCCGCCAAAGCTGCGTGGTAGCATACTGATCGCGCGCGCGCGATAAGAACGAAAAAGCGGCAATCCTATGAAGATACATCTTCATAAATTCAGACAATATTTCAATTCTGGTAATTGGCTTTTCAAACTTGATGACTAGCGGCCAGGCCTTCGCGCACTGAACGCGCATCGTCAACTGCATGAAATCACCGCTGTCCGCTTCGATGGCAGCAGCCCAGAGTTTCCCATTGCTGATAATAATTTCCCTCCATTTCTTGCAGACCAAGGAGAGAGAAAGAAGGGTGCGCCTATCTCCGTGTCGTGTGGGAAAGTAATGGTGTGAGCAATCATAGTCCTTTTGGATTGCATATTGGAAGATATCCATGAGGAGTTCGCAGGGAAAGTCATGGAACGCAGTCCTAGAACGGTGAGTTGGTGTAGATAATAATGCGTCACAGATTGGTTTGGCGGGTTGATGAAGAAAAAGTTTTTTCTGCAGGCCACAATTGGGCCAATAGAAAGGCATTGCGTCCGAATACCGACGACTTGGAATGGGGGGCATTTCAGTGACATGGCATTCACTAGTATTAAATATGAAATTTATAAGAATGTGACGAGGAAGCCACTCGCCGAATGTTTTTAATGTACGTCTCAATCATCGCAAGTTTGGGTGGCATCATTTGATTTTATTGTGTGCATGGAATATAATGAAACACCAGTGCTAAGGGGCTCAGGCCATCAGTAAGTTGCCTATTTTGGTTTTCCAAGGTTGTGCAACCACGAAACCAGCTGAAACCGTGAAACCCACCTGCCAAATGCGGAAAACCTGGGAACTAGGAAACCTATTATGTGCCCTTCTTCGGAAACTTACCTTGGCATCAACAAAATTTAATCAAAATGTAAGCAAAAATATTGACAGGATTTTGATGTAACTAGTCTAAATCAAGGAATTTATCGCTCATTAGGTTTTCGGAAACCCAAAAACAGGAAAAAACAGGAAAAAACCGACAAAAACAACAAAACTTTTTTGGCAACTTGCTGATGCAGGCAGCAGCAGTTCATTGATAGATAGAGATACAAATCATAGACGCCGTAGTCTCCAGGGCGACTAGCGTTGTTCTTCAGTTGATATGGTCATGGCGGTCAGCAAGGACAATTAGAGGCGACCGGTGATTACCGCATATGTAGTTGGACCTCTTTGACCAATTGCAAACAAATATCAGGCTAAATGAGCACTTAGCGATGAGTGTTCGGATGCCGTCTCAAATCTCTCTGGTTTTCCTGCAGTGCAAGCAATTTATTTGATAAGACGTAGTTGGAACTCAAATTTGCCAACCAGAACTTCAGAATATGTTTCGTAATTTTCTATGCGAGAATCGTTCATCAAATAAGTACACAAATCAATAAGATTTTCAGAGGGATATTCTTTCGGGCAAAGCGCCAGCTGTTTGTACGAATCCACTGCGACCCACTTCGAAAGCAGTAGTCGAGAGAGCCCCAGTGCCGAAACTTATTTCTCTCCCTATTTTGCAGACTTGGGACAGACACAGAAGAGTGCGCATATTAATAGCATGAGCGGTTGTAATTCTTCCTCTCTATGATGAGGCATGTAATCATAAAAGACGAAAAAAAATACAGAGAAAATAAAAACTTAACGCGCATTTCTAAATGCAAAGAAGGTGCTACCAGGGTTCGAACCTGGGTTTCGGGAAGATATTTTCAAAATCCCGAGTGATAACCACTACACTATAGCACCATTAAGTAAGCTTTTAAAATGGTAAATTATAAGCTTAACAAGAATTTAATCCCACGGCCGTGTGTTTACGCCGAGGCTCCTCATCATCCGCGTGACCGAAGTGGACCAAGTCCCAGAACCTCTTTCCCTCCAACCTTGTCCGCCAGCCTCTCAGTCCCACACGTATTCGGTCCTCATCTTACTGAACCTCCAAACATGCCTCCAGGAGTCCCCTCTGCGGTGAGCACAGCGAAGGCTGCGTTGTGTTGCCAATGCTGACTGAAGGGTTGTGTTGCAACAGATGACAATGAAGCGCATTACCCGCGAAATTGCAGACCTCAAGCGTGAGGACCTCGGCGACATCAAGCTCGAGCCGAACGAGCATAACATGAACATCTGGAAGGGGAGCATACCGGGACCGGAGGGGAGTCTGTACGAGGGAGGCGTGTTCGACGTCGAGATCGTCCTGCCACCAGATTATCCGTATGTGGCCGCTTTACTCGGAAAGTCTGTCGCGGAACGTCTTATATGTTATCCAGGTTCTCGGCCCCGAAAGTCATTTTTAAGACTAGGTAAGCTCATACTTTCGATGGGATGCCGTTGTGAAAGGCTAATTGCAGCGAATGTTAGAATTTACCATATGAATGCAAGTCTTATTTTAACTTCTTACGCATGTGCAATGTTTTGACTTTTGGATTAGATTTCTGACCAAGGAAGCATATGCATAGACATCCTCAAGCAAAATTGGTCTCCGGCATTATCATTATTTAAAGTCATGCTGTCGCTGTCGTCTCTTCTAACAGATCCTAATCCGAGTAAGTCCCTGATACTTGAATGGAATGACGTCTTAACTTGATCTGATAATTCAATCTCATTCTGCAGGAGATCCCCTGGGTGCGTCGGTTTATCGATTATACGTTGCTCTCTGACGAATTCATATCCCATTTTTTCTTCGTTACGTTCGCCTACTCAGTACCCTCCATCGCCACTCAGTATACGAGGAATCGCAAAGTCCACGACTCCACCGCGCGAAGCTGGACAGCACTCTACGCCAAACCCAAACCACCGCCACCTGCACCTGCCGCCCCCTCAAGCAAAGCCCGGGGGAAGAAACCAGCCGAATCCACATCCTTACCTTCATCACATGCCGACACCGGAAACTCGACCTCCCTCCCTCCCCGATCCGCACGTGCATCTCAGCCGTCCGCTTCAACACCGCCGATAACTACGGGCAACACCATAATCGTTCTCGACGATTCGGACGACGAAGCTGGGGCGAGCCGCAGTTCGACGACGACGACGACGACGAGGGCAGACAAGAAGCGCAAGCGGCCAGATACGACCCCCGTCGATCTGACGACGACGGAGGTGCTGAATATCTCGGATTCGGAGGACGATGAGGCTGCTGCAGGGTCTGCGGCGCAGTTCGCAGCGAAGAAGAAAGCCCGGACAACACAGAACGGGGCTGGCTCGGGTGTTGGGGCGAGCAGCAGTAACAGCGTTGGGAGCAGTCGAGCGCCTGTGCGTCAGCTGGGAGAGGTGATTATCATTGATTAGGGGCCAAATTGCATTTTATCATTATGTGTATCAACATCCGCATTCAAGTCTCGGCTTTCAATGTTTCTCTCGTTCAATTTTCTGCTGCTTTCATCACCATCATGGGTCTCTGTATCTGGTTTCCTTTACGCTTTTCTGGTTTGCGGGCATGTGAAGTACGATGGATTTGGGCAGTCTAAGCCGGACCTCTCTTGCATAGTGGATTTGTATACGTAGAATTCACGGCCTGAGATGCTTGCTTTTTTGGTTATGGATTTTCGATTCCTTTTTACGTACATAATGCTGTAGCATGTAGCATCAGGTTGTTCCAGATCAATTTACTTTTTCTTACCATGGACTTTACGGCTGACCTGACCTGATTCATGAAACAGTCATCCATGGACCATAATATCCAATGTATTTCATAAGCTATTTTATGCATGATCTTCATTTGTGATGGTTGCAGTAGCTAACCCATATTGAGACTTCGAAGACCCATTCTAAATAAGATCTGCAGGCAGGCCCCGCCAGAAGTATTGCTAAATCTGGAAATATTCTTGCGAATTTAGAAAACGGTCATGTTCTATTTTTGGATCCTATACATAGAGCGCTCGCTTCTCCGTCGAAAAACGTGTCTATTTAAACATTACACCTTGTAGAAACATCTCAGTATAGAGAACAAACCTTATCGTGAAGCAAGAAATACTATACCTGTACAATTACGTGCGCCACACATACACCTTTCATAAATTATATCCCTAGTGCCCTCTATATGCGGCTGTTCCTTGTCGCGCTCGTTCTCTGGGTCGTCGTCGTCGTCTGGGTAGTCGCCGTTGTAGTTGAAGCAAATCTCCTCATCGGGTTCGATATCGCGAAGCGAGAAGACAACAAGCAGTGGTTTCTGGATGTTGCCTTCATTGACGTAGCAGGCGAAGAGCCGACTATTTGAATCACACGAGTGGTTCTGGAGTTGTTTGGCAGATAGTTAGTATATGCTCTTTTTTTCACAAGTAGTGTTTTCCTACGAGGAAGCGGGTGAACTAATAACTCATGTCAAAAAATTGACGGGATGATATTGAGATATGTATTGCTTACATTTCCGGCATGGTATGCATCGACAGTAAACTGATTGGTCCAATCGGGATCATTGCCATCTCGAAGATGATGGAAATCGATGTCGAAGAGGTAAGTGCGCCCGAATTTGTTGTATTTGCTACGCAAAGAAAGCCATGTAAGCCAGATATAGACAAGGATTCGAAAGTGCAACTTACATTCCACGTTTTTGTGCTACCACGTCGGTGATCAGCTCTCCGGAGTAAATTCCAATAAAAGACCCCGCGAGTATTTTCTTCGTCGCGAAAACACCTAGTATGGCAAGTTAGAAATCGAATCATGATTTTGATTTCCATAAACTTACCCCATCCTTTGGAGACTGTCTTCCGAAGGGCAACGGAGACTTTTCGTCCGTGCTGTACCACCTTCAACGTAATATTAGCTAGGTTTCGCAGATATCGATATAGGGTACAATGCTCACCCTATTCCGACATTCGTCCCCACAACCACAGAAGTCGTTACACTCGAAAATTGGGTAACCTGGAATCTTGAGCTTTCCTGTCTTATCGTACGCAAATTCCATATTCGGGTCTTGGCACGCTTCCCTTTGCCTCTTGAGGCATGCACACGTTTTTGACTTTGGACTGCACGCCCCTTTACAATTGCACCTCACCAAGCTTTTCGTATCCGGCGGAGGGACACCTTCCCCATGCCACATCTTGTTGCTGTAAAAGAACTCCCAAGGCGGGGTAGCTTCTTCGTCGACATCGTTCTGGATCTCAATCGGCGGCGCATCAGGTTCGTCCTCAGCTGTGTTTTCCAGGATCCTGGCTTCGTACACCTTGCGCATCTCGGGCATCATGCGCGTATACCAAGTCATATTGTTGACATGGTCTTCAAAGAGATGTGGAATGTCCTCTGCGCGGTCGTATTTCGGTGTGCGGTTCTTCGTAATCTTGACGTGATCTGGCCAGGTGATGGCTTCGAACCCGCCGTACGTCTTGCTGTGGTGAACGACCACGCCGTCTTCGGGTGTCGTCTGGCGGCTGGCGTTGGGCGAACCAAAAGTATCGTCGGCGCTTGCCGGCCAGGCGTCGCTTGTAGAAGACCGTGACGACATGCGCGACGAACGTCGCGTCGAGAGTGACGGAAGCGCGTCGTCGAAGGCGTCTTCTCCGGCGGCCACGGTCTCCGACGACCTAAAGTCCATCAGGTCATCCTCGACAAGGGCCTCCACCTCTGCGGCTTCTTTCATAGCCTCGTCCTCCGACGTCTCGGATTGTGGAGGTGGCGGCGAAGGTCTGCCTTCAGAACTGGTGGACATATTGATATCGTAGTCATTATTCAGGATGGTAGCAGAGGCAGCATCGGAGGCAGCCTCGGAGGCCGTTGATTGGTCTGAAACTTCGTTCGTACTGTCCGAAACGGCTTCGGTGGGTTTCTCTTGAAGGCCTTGTTTGACCACCTCGCTGAAGGACAGCCGAAAAGGCGCCGGAGAACTTTGGGCTTGCGGTAGCTTGGACGATGTAGGCGACTGCGGAGGAGACGTCGGTGCATGTTCCTTTGGTGCTGCGGCGGGACTGCTGAACGCCGAGGCATGGGTCTCACTCGGAGATTCAGGAAGAGATGACGGGATTGGTGGGCTATCGTGACGTTTCCGGGTGGGCAATTTGGGAAAGACCAAAGGTGACGGCGAAGTGAGCGATGTGGTTGATGAGGATTGTACCTTTTTCGGAGTGGTATCTACCTTCGGTACTGCATCCGTCGAAGCTGGTCTTGCTTGAACGTTGGCTCCAGCAAGAATATGTGCACTCGCCGGCGGGGCCGAGGTTTGCAGAACAGACGCCGAGGGCCGAACTTCAGTTGTCAGTGTAGGAGCAGTAGCATCGCCTAGTGAAGGAGCGGAACGACGTCGAGGTACCAGAGGAGCACCACTTTCGGACGATAACGAAGGTTGAATTGCCGGTATTGTAGGCGTCTGCACTACGGGAGAAGGTGACACAGGAGGAGGGGTTGGCTCTGATGGGCGAAGGAGCAATTCGTCGGTATCCGATCGAGATGGTGGACGAACTGGCTCTGAAGGAAGCTTGACTGCTTCAACCAAAACGTCAATTTTATCATACGAAATGAACAAAGATTGTCCCACCTGGACGAACAGCAGACGAAAATCCTAATTTACTGGCTTGTTCATATGCCACCAACGGAGATTTCGAATAAATCTTGCTCGCACTTGCTTTTGCATGTTGGAGTAGAGGATTACTAGCAGCCACTTTTTTACGCTCTGAAGACAAGCTGCTACTAGAAGCAGAATCAATTGACACTCCTTTTCGATGTTTATATGAAGCGTTTAATTTCCCAGCATTCATGATAGCCTCGGCTAAAGTGAACGAGGGGGTACCTTCGCCACCAATGGAATTTCTCGCTGCGAGCTG